GTGAAAACTAGGTCAGATGTTTAAACCTTGAGCAATGTTACAGACTCATTCTGACCAGTTCTTTCCCTTAGGTGTTATTAAGGGTTATTCAAGTGTTAGTTTATCTTTTTAATCTATATTTTTGCAGTTCTTTGTAGCTAATCTGAATATGCTACAGTTAGGGTACAGAGAGTTTTATAAACCATAAGGTCTACTACTATATTATTAGTCATTATTGTCAATATTTAAAGGAAACTTTAAACTGTGTTAGCTACAAGGCAAAAAATACTGCAAAATATCATTACAGATTGTACTGTAAGAAGCAAAAAAATCTCATCATCACTGTGTTGACCTGTGACAACCTTCTTTGTGTGCTACAGGCCTTAATAAAATTGCTTTAATCTGCTAATATTTTTTCCAGCTTGGATTTAATTTTGATATATCAGTGTTTTAAATTTAACCTGTTATATATGATTTGGGGATATTTATCAAGATAGGTTCTAAGCCTCCCATTTTAAACTTGCCTTTCATATAAAAAAACATTCTTTTTCTTTTAGATTGTCTCTTGTATATAAGTGGTATGAATGTACACAATTATTTTCTTTGACTTCTTGTGACACTGCTAATATGAAAACCAAGGTAATTTAACTCTGAAATTTGTTGTGCCAGAGTTGTTTTTCAAAAGCGAGGATGCTGCTGCTTGAATCTACCTGCTCCGAAGACTTGCAGCTTCACCTCTGGCTTGGGACACCTCCTCCAGCTCCACACTGGCATCTCTCTTCCTGCCAGCTCCACTCCAGTGACTAAGACACATCTCAGTTTTAGTATTTCTAAAACAGAACCTTAGATTCCTCCTACCCAAGCTTCCTACCCAGGAAATGACACTATTTTCTAATTGCTCAAACCCCAATCCTTGGAATCAACCTTTATTGTTTTCTCATCTTTGTTAGTCAACTCAAGTACTGTCATTTATCTCCAAAACCATATCAAGAATCTACCAGTTTCTCTGCTTGAACCCTTTATGTTTTTCCAGTCCTACTTTGAGTAAAACTCTCGCTCTTACCATGGACTTCAGTTCTCTGTGAAGTCTGGTCCCAAGTTGACCTTCTGACTTCATTTTGTATCACTTTCTCCATTCAATTACGTTTTTCACCTGTTTTATATGTGGTTAGTTCCTTCTTGCCCATTCAAGTCTCTGCTTAAATGGCACCTACTCAGATAGGTCTTCCTTGATCTAACATAGAAATCCAGACATTTAATTACCCCAGCCATCTTCTTTACAGTATGTGTTCTTTCTGATATGACTTTTTACTTGCATTCCTCAACTACAATGAAACATTCATGAAAATAAGAACTTTGCTTTATCACAACTGACCTAAAATAAGGCACAGTACCAGTAGGAGCTCAAAGATATTTGTTGAATGGGTAAATAAATGGTTGAGTCATCTGTACCATATGTAATATTTGGCTCTGTGTGACTGTGGTTCCCACCAGTTCAAGAGGTCTTACAGGACTCTAAATTCACTCTGCCTAGGGAAAAGGCAAGAATGGAACTCTCTAGACTGGGAGCAAAATGAACTCTCCAAAATAAGAAGTAATGTGCGTCCTCATCATTACCACGCTACAAACAAGGATGTGGTCTGGCCTAGATAAAATATCATGATGCTGTAAAATGTTTCACTAAAATTGATCTGTACTATAGATTTGTCTTGTTTGAAATTGGCATCAGAAAAACCAATATTATCTAGCAAATGTGATGTTTTGAAACACTTTTCTTTTGTTTGCCCTAGTCTTAAAACAGTTATAATTTTCTTTTTTAAAATTACTCCATTCTCTTCACTTCTGAGCTCCTTAGAAGATCATAATATAAGAATCAGTTTTTCCTTTTTGAAAACCACTTTCCTAATCTTCAGGTAATTTCCTCCTCTGTTTGGTTAAAAATAGCTTGGCTCACACTTTTTTCTTGCCTAAATCATGACTAGATAATAAAATTCTTAATGCTTGCCTCTCTATACCTTTTTCAATCTCTTTTTAAAGCTCATTTTCAAAATCTCATTTTAAATGCAATTAAAACAAGTCCATGTAACTTTATTATGTGCAGATCGATTCTATATGTGTGCCAAAGTTGGCACATACCGTCTGCTAAATTTTTTACACTCAAAAGAAACTTCTGGTGTTAAGCATTTCAAAAGATCAAAGATACTTTTGGACACAAGCATGTTAGAATTAGACGTTGTCATTCAATTCATTACACTTGGGTAGTAAAATACAATATAGGAACACAATGAATACAATTACTTATTTCCTAAGTATTATAAATATTTTTGTGCAAATAACTTTCTTAAAAACAAATTGATGTCAAAGATTAAGAGTATGGTCTTTAAAAAATCAGAGAAATAAATATCAAGAAGGAAGAAAAATGATTCTTATTTTGAAAACAAATGAAAGTTTCGAAACATGCTTCTATAGAAACATAGAAAATATTAATAGATGTAAAATGAGATCATTGGAAACATTGTTTTAAGAAGGCCAATCTCTGAAAGGACTAAGATGCATAATACTAGTCATTCATGAATTAATTTATTATATATGTAAATATACACATGCATATATATTTGAAAGTCATTCTAATGCATATTATGAATGCAATAGAGAAATCAGTTAGATTAGGCTTCTACCTTAAGGAGATTTTAGTTTGGGAAGCCAAGCAAAGGCCAGACCTAATTTATGGCAGATAATAAAGAGCAATGTGTAAAAACTTCTTGAAAAAAAGAACTAGGGGTTAAAGAGTGAAGAAATTACACTCAAAAGTGATTATCAAGCAAGGCCACATATGAAAGGTGACATTTGATGAGTATATTGCTGTTAATAGTTATAATAAAAATAATACTTACTAGCATTTATTTGTTCACTCTGGAACCAAAATGTTTTAAAAATCAACCTTGGTCACCATTTGCAAAATGAGGGCAATAAGAGCATCCACTTACATCACAATAGAAAGTTTTAAGCTTAATGAATTAAAACTTAATGAATCAAATTAATTAACATTTCTAAAACAGAAAATTGTCTGGTACCTAGTAAGTGCAATATGAAGTATTTGTTAAATTAATGTTAAAATATATATATGTGGATTTAAGTGGAAATTTCAACATGCACATGCACCGGGAAGTGCTGATTGGTCAAGATGAAAGGCCCTTATTCCTGCACTACAGGAGAGAGGAGTGGGGAGGAGAAATGATCAGACATTTGAAGTGATCAAATGACTGCAGATAAGAGAAATGTAAATGTCTTTGATGTACTTTTTTTCTCAAAAGCATCTATCTGAAAAACAAAAAGACAATACCAGATTAATCACTATATATTACTAATTTTTCCAGTAAACCTAATTTTCTCCTCATTATAAAAACATCTTTTGGACTAGAAGGCATAATGTTGTCATTTGAAAATAAATAAATACACACACACACACATGCACACACATTTTTGAAACCAAGCAACCAGAAATCCTGCATGGTCAATGATGTCTAGCCTATTCGCATAAATAAATATTATATCCTCCAAAGAAGCAAAGCCTTAAACTAAACAATTTTTTCAGTGTTATATAAGTCTGTATTTTCCGGTTCTGTAAGTTCTGGCATTAGGCAAAGCATTTGCAATATTATCTCTTTAGCTGAGAGCAGGTCTCTCACCACGTTTATGTTTCTTGATGGCCAAGTCCACGTCTTGTTCGTTGTATTATAGCAAGCATCATTATAGTGCCTGGCACATTGTAGGTCAAGTGAATGAATAACTGAACCCAGAAAGTCTACACAAAGTCTAGAGAATATATTGCCTAGTTCAAGGTGACCAGACAAATAGATGACACCCAGTGACGTTAGAATTTTTAGATAAACAAGGAATAATTTACTAGTATAAGTATCTCTCACACATTGCATTAGGATATACTTATACTAAAAATTATTCATTGCTATCTGAAATTCTAATTTAACTGAGTGATCTATATTTTTATTGGCTAAATCTTTTAACCCTTGTCTAGTTATTATAATAAATTAAAGGGTATCCATCTATTCAATGAGTTATTTGTCAACAAGTAATTATTACTCTCTTAAATTATTAAATAATGTACTGCCTGCCTACTGTGTGTCAGGAATAATTTTAATGATAAATAATCCTGGCAGACTCACTTCGTGGAGCACTTGTTTCAGTGGGAGACGAGGGAAGATGAAAAACAAATGGGTGAAGTACTAAAATGACAAGGTAATCTTTGTAATGGTAAGTGCCATGACAAACACCAAGCAGGATGATATGGCAGAGAGTGAAGGAGGGATCAGAGCTACCTTAGACGGATTGTAGGCAGTCGCTATTCCATGAGGAAAAGAAGTCAGACGGGGTGCCTGAACGAAATGTATTTGTATACCTAATCCTTAACTGTACCCCACAATATCATAATAAAAAATATTGATAAAAAAAAGAAAGAAAATAAGTCAGTCATGGACAAAGTTGGGGAAGAGCACAAAACTAAGAGGGAGCATCAGGGGCCAAGGACCCTGGGCAGAAGTGAACCTGACTGTAACAGGAAAAGAGTGAAGACCAGCTGGACGGCAGTAGGCAGAAAGCTAAGGAGCAGGGAAAGTGTGGTACAAGAAGAGTAAGCAGGTGAAGGAGACACTTGCGTCCCATGGAATCATGGCAGTTGGATTTCATTCTGGTAGAGTGAGAACCTCTGGAGTGGTTAAGACTAGGAGTGATAGGCTCTGAAACACTTTTACAACACCCCATGGATAGGTGTGTAGGAAATAGATGGGTGCAGTGGAAAGACCTGTGTGAGGTGGAGGGTAGCAGCAGAGGGAAGATAGGCTTATAGAGGCTGTGATGGAGACAGGTCTACTGGAGATCTGTTTTGGAGGCAACAGCGGTAGCACTTGTTTTGGAGGCAACAGCGGTAGCACTCTGGATGCAGAGCAGAGCAGTGAGAGAACGGGAGGAAGCCACCTGTTGTCTACTCTGAGTTGCACTGATTCATGGCCGCTGTCCAAGGAAGAATAAATGGATCTCTGTGTGCTTCTTCCCAGTTGCCTATATTGGCATCATCGGTGGTCAGCCTCTACTTCCTGGAGCTCACGGATGTCTTCAAGCCTGTGCACTCTGGATTCAGCTGCTATGACCGCAGTCTCAGCATGCCGTACATTGAGCCCACCCAGGAAGCCATTCCATTCCTCATGTTGCTCAGCTTGGCCTTTGCTGGACCTGCAATTACGGTAAAAAGTCTCTCTCCCCATCCCCCCTCCCCAATTGCATTTGTTAGTCCCAGAAAGCTACAGGCGACCACATTTGTATAACAAATGAGTTAAAAGCAAATAAAAGGTGAATTCTAAAACTGGAGGCAGGAAGATCAGGTCTATGAGATATTTTGACAGCATCATATAGAAATAGTTAATAGCATAAAATTATTGGCATTGAAAGTTAAGATGATTTTATTTCAAAAACGATTGCTCTCTAATGTTGACTTATAAATCATTATGAAAAGTTGTGTAACTGTATAATTCTCTTTGAATGGTTAATACAACATTTCTTGTACGTTTCCTAATTTACATATTTTTCATGTGTTTACTTGATATCTGAAACCTGGAAAACTGAAGGAGAAAATTATACAGCCAATAGAATTTTTCCTCAGAACTGGATTTTGATGTCACACACATTTATTTTTTATTAGATTGAGTATGAGTGTTGAGAATCAACACCTGCAAAATCAAAACTCACATTCCTGCAATGCACACACGCTTGCACACACACAGAGACACACTCAGAGAATAGATGCTTCAGATTCAGAACAGTCATTTGTACTTTAAAATATGTACACATATTCAAAATAGCCAAAAGAGCATAATTCAAACATTCCTAGCATAATAAAAAGATAAACATGGGGGAGGAGGGTACCAAAAATGTATACACATTTTAAGAAATGTTATCTATATATGACTTTTCAAAGTTAAATTACAGTAGCAATGTGTAGTATGATGTTCACTCAACTGTGCTTCCGCCATATTCTTTGACTGTCCTACCTGTCAATTGGTGGCACTAGCATTCATTTGATTAACACCATATTTTGAGTGAAAGTTGTACCTTTTTTTTTGAGTTGGAGTCTCACTCTGTTGCCCAGACTGGAGTGCAGTGGCCACTCCTGGCCACCGCAGCCTCGACCTGCTGGGCTCCGGCGATCCTTCCACCTCAGCCTTCCAAGTAGCTGGAACTACAGGCGCATGCTACCACGCCCAGCTAGTTTTTTATTTTATTGTAGAGATGAGGTCTCGCCAAGTTGCCCAGGCGGGTCTCAAACCCGTGGGCTCAGGCAATCCTCTCGCCTCGGCCTCCCAAAGTGCTGGGATTACAGGCTGAGCCACCGAGCCCGGCCGAACGTTGTACTTATAATGTGTATACATTTTTTGGCACCCTCTGTATATGAGGTGATGGGTATCCTAATTACTCTGATTTGATCTTTATACATTATATGAACGTACCAAATTATCACATGTACTCCCAAAATATGTGCATCTATTATGTATCAATTCAAAATGAATAAATAAATAACATATGTACATGAAGAAATGTCCTAATCTACTGGTACTGAATTAAAAACATGGTTATTTTTATGTGATAATAGACATTGTGAATAATACACCTTTAGATAAATCTATTAATAAATGATAAACCTGGTCACCTCTTCCCACCGTCTCTTCTGTCCCTAATATTGTTACCCAAGAAACATGTTTCAAGGATAACAATATTTAGTTCTATCAGTAGGAACTCTTGATTTTTATTATGCTCACAAATGTCAGGAAGTGGTTATTAAATTAAAAGCTATATTTGAACTGAGTTTTTACAAGATCTTCTAATGAATTTGCCTATTCAGATTCAGAACAAAAGCAGTTTTAGAAAATTATCTGCATAGATCTTCTAAATTCTATACTTCTATATAGCCATGGATTTTTTTAATTCCCTGTATTACTTAATCATAGCATGCTGCTTACACTATAAATAAATCATCTAAAATATTCTCAAGATAAAATTGGAACTAACTTTCCATAGAACTTTATAATATTTAAAAGGTCTCAAAAAACACTTTGTAAATTAATGAGATATTCTGCTGTGACTCCCAGGCAATTAGAGGTATCAATGTTGTTCTTGGATGTACCTGAGCCCCTGAGAAGACTAATAAAGCCTTTTAAAAGTGCAATATTGCTCAAAATAGCAGCATTTTCCTATCATTTTTTAAAGAGACTTTTAACAAAAGTTCATGTCACCCAGTCATTTGACCAGAATAGAAAGAATATATGATTTAAATCTATCACACCAGAAAGTATTTATCCTAGTTGTGGTAAAGTACCCCAAATTATTGTGATTAACATTTTCTAAATGAGACAAATAAAATGTTATACCAGTGTTCATGACTTTGCTGAAAAGACTGTGTTGATACGTATTCCTATAAATGGTTTGCTTCTTATGCATCCAGGGTATCGGATCAGAAGGCCAGGGAAGCGGCACTCCCTGCCAGCATTCTCTATCTCACGTTGTTACATGTCCTGGGGACAATGACCTTGGCCTCCTCACTTTGTTCCTGCTTCTGGTGACTTCCTCACCACCTGTCATAAATGCTTGACACACAGGTTGGAGATACTTCTGGGGCATTTGAGATTGAAGATCTCTTCCTCGAGCCCTGAGAAGTGAAGGGAAAATCCATCCTGGCCTCCCCTCTGAGAGTGTGCTCGGGGCCCAGTGCCAACTCCTCCCTCAGAAGCTCCATGATACCTGGGCCCCCACAGGGCCTCCAAGCTGCTACACAGCTCCTAGAGAAAGGCCACTAGGGAACTATGAGGGGGGACTCAAAAAACCCTGTAATTTATTTATTATAAACTGTCTGTGTATTCTTGCATGTTTAAACTTGTCCCCTTCAAAACCCTCTCCGTGTATTGCATATACCAACTGAGACACTTTTTCCACTGCTCAGAGCAGTTTTTGAACTCATCAATGTTGATGCTTTTTAGTGCTTCTGCCATTTTATGTGTGTGTGTTTGTTTCGCCTCTTCCAAATTGGCAAAACGTTTCCCTCTGAGGACTTTTTTCAACCAGGGAGACCAAAAGAAGTCACTTGAATCAAAATAAAGTGAGTAGGGAGGGTGGGGCACAGGGGTCATGCCGATTTTGGTCAAAAACAGCTGAAAACTCAACATGGTGTGGGCAGGTGCCCTGGTAAATCACCCATTGTGAAATGGGCAAACGAATTGAAAGAATCTCCAAAAAAAAATTCACTGAAGCTGAACGCAGCCTCTCACAAGAAAGCTAGCTGACACACTGATACCAATGGGTTTCTAGTATACTTACCTAGCAGAGGAAGCCTGCCTTACAAGGGGACCACCCTCCAAAAGATAATTCTGAGCTTTTTGAGTTCCCCTTGTATTTACACCTCGGTGTCCTTAATTTCCCCAGATCACTGCAGGAACTTCCGAGGGCCAGTAATTCTTTTCTCCCACTCTGGTTTTATAGGTTTTGGGTAAAACAATTTGTTAGTGAGACAAACCTTGACTTTGCAGACATCAAATACACCTTTCAAACCTTTTTCTCCAAACACATACTATACTTCTGCTAAATTTCATTCTAATTTCATTTTTCCTGTTTTTTAAGGCCTTCTCCAAAATCTCCCTTTTCTCAACAGTATTCCTGATGTCTGGAGGCATCTTGTTTTAGAACCATAACTCTGTCTCTAATTTTACTACATATGTTACTGCTCTAACTCCTCACTCCCCTCTTCCTGAAAGTGAAAATTACAGACACTAATCTCTGATTTTCAAGGACGCCATTTCCTTTTTTATCTTTATGGTGACATAAGCCTGTTCCCAAAATGGCACATAGTGAGGGGAGGTAGGGAGGCAGGAGGAATCCTCCTTGTGGAGATGACTTTCCGAGCAAACTTGTGTGAGGAGAAGAGCTTCCTGTCACCACTCCTCCACAGGGAGGAAAGACAAGGAAGAACAAAGGCCTCACATCAGCCAGAGTGTCCAAAAAGTCCATCTTACAAACAAAAGGAAGATGAGTGAGATTTTTTTTTTCAGGAATTTAAATATGAATCATTTGGGGTTTGCATCTCAGATTTTTTTTTAACACTCTGAGAGAAGTTTAAAAATAACTTGACTTTGTGATATACATGAAACTGGAAAAATGCCTTTCATGTCTGTGAAATGCATATTCTGATTTCTCTGAAATTGACCGTACATTAGAAATTTTCTTCCTTAATATTCAACTTTCATTTACTTTAGAGTGAGAAAGGAAGCATTCTTTTTAGGTCCTTTGGAGATTATTTCTCAGAAAAAACAACACAGAAGATCTGGGTTTCTCATAAATTTTCATGTAGTCTATGTGAACAGAAAAAAATACGTTCTTTTCTTCCCTGCAAACACAATTTTATTACACATTTTAAAAGGATGAATCCTTCTAATTTTATAGGAGAATTCTATCCGATTTTAATTAGAGTTCTGAAAGAGTAAAGTAAGCTTTAGGAGACTATGCCATCAACATGCAGAATGTTGAATGTGTTGGGGCTTCCAAAAAACATGCTTTGGAAAGTTAAGCATTGAAAGCACTGTAAGGATTATTATAGTATTCTTGTTATTTTGTTTAAAAGGAAGACTTTTTGGATTGGGAGTTTTCCTTGAGGGAATGCTTCCCAGTGCAGGGCCTTTATACTAATAAGCTACCCTTTCAAAATCTCCCCTAGAGCAGAGTCATCAAATCTCTTCCCCAAACCTGGTCATGATATTTCACATAACAACAAAAAAACCATGTTGTTTCTTTTTAGGGTTTGGTAGAGCACAAAGCAGAGATTGTGAAAAGATATTTTTCATCAACTATTTTCTGCCTTCAGATAGCAACAAGCAATAAATGGTTTCATTGTCAGAGTCTAAACCTCAGTGGCACATTGCCCCCCAATAGCGTGCCATCCAGAAGCAAGAAATAGGTTAGAGCATTTAGAACTCCAGTAGGAAGCAGCTCCCCTTTCCTGAGGAGACATTTGTCCTTAAGCCAAACTGGATCATTTTGAAAATTCGTACAATGATATATAGATGGAGTTTAAGTGAGTAGAAGTGTGAGAAAATGAATGTGCCCCTTAGTAAGAGGGACCCTCGGGTGATGTCAAAATGCTGGCAAGGCACCTGTATCACATTGCATAATCAAGCCAAATCATGTTGATGTCCTGTCTTGACAAGTGAGTTTGGAGCGAAGTCAAACAATGAAAGCAAAACTCCTCAAATTTCAGGGTCAGTTGAGATAATGTCTGTTGTGTTGTAGGAAAAGACACAGTTCCCTAATGACACTGTACACATAAAGTCTTATATAATTTAGAACTCATGGGCAAGAGGTGAATGTTTACACATATAATTGAAAAGAAAAAAACAAAATCATTCACAGAATTGTCATTGAAGAAGAGAAGATAAAATCAATGTCTTTTAGCTGTACAACAATGCATCTCAGGAATAAGTGGTTAATTTTCTTGAAATGATGAACTTGAGATAGACATTATATTATTCTAAGTGTTGTATTCCATCCTATCTACTGGAATAGAGTATAATACCAATTGCATCTCTATATCTAACGTGAAGTGCTAATATAGGATGATAGTTCTCAAAAAGTATAAGTGGCTAACTCACTGTTCAATGATTTGAAATGACTTACTTTTGATTGTTTCTATAACAATCAATCTTAAAAGAGTTTATCATGCCACATGATTTTCACATGTATGGTTATAGGTAGAGTTCCATTATGAGAATTAGTTTTTAAATTATTTATGTGAACTAAGATTCTTCATAATTATACATGTGCCATATTACCTACCAAATTAAATATAGCAATTGAACACTCAAAGCAGAAAATCATAGTCCTACTTTCATTCATTTTTTTCCTAAACTATACTTTTGAACACTTTGTAAAACAAATGTTAAGCTAGTAATGAGGAGTTTCCCCTGGAAAATCTATTCCAGCTCTAACCATGGTTGTGATCTTTACACGACATGATCTCTTCTATCCGAGAGACAGTTCGTCTCTTGTTAACCTTACTTTTCTCAATTCCACACATTTATGCCAAACCAATATCTAACTTCACAACATTCTAGGCCCAAATAATTTGAAAAATATTTGTGTAAATAAAACTGGTCATTTTAAATCTTGCTTCTGCTGTACAGAACAACAGACCACCCAAATGCCTAAGTTGTTTGCCAGTGTGAGTCCCAACAGCAAAGGCCAAAGACAAATCCCACAGGCACTATGCTAGACAGTGAGGATAGAAAATAGCTAAGAAATGGTTTGTCCCTCCAGGGACCCTCACATAGTGAGAGATAGTCCAGCAAACAACTTAAAAAAGCTGTGTCAGAGGGAAGGGCAAGGTGCCCAGGGAGCCTCATAGGAGACATACATTCAACTTAGGGCACAGTAAGAGGGTTCAAAGAAAGCTTACTGAAGGAGTAATCTGGAGCTCCTTCATTGATCTCCTGTATCCTAAAATCCTACAGCAGAGCAGAGTACACTGTCTGTTAAGATAGTCCTCCTGACACTACAGTAGGATTCTCTGTCCATGGTGAACATGTCTAAATGTCTATCCCTAGGAAATACTACCTGCTGTCCTAGATTATCTTGTAATCTGCATTCTCCAGTAAGATAGCCACTAGCCACCTGTGGCTATACCATTTCAAATTAAAATTTATTAAATTTTTAAGTAATGAATATAATGCAGTGAAATAAAATTAAAAATTCATGTATTCATTTGCGGTAGCTTTGTTTCAGGTGTTCAATAGTCAGTCACTCACAGGTAATGGCTGCCATATTGGTCACTCACAGGTAATGGCTGCCATATTGGATAGTGCAAAACATAGTTCCATCATTACAGATATGTTTATAGAACAGCTGTGCTCTACATAGCACCTTTCTACACTCACGCATGCCTTCCATGGATGGGTCCTTGTGCTCAGTCCTTCATGGCTTTATTGACCTCATCTCCTGGTAAAATGTCCTAGTACCCAGGTGTCCAGAAGTGCCTACCAAATCTCTTTACAGTGGCCCAATGACTTACTCCTCATTGCTTGATCAAATCTTCAGGAGAAATCTCTTGCACCTCTAAAGCTTTTAAGAAAAAATATATCCCTATGTTGCTGAATTAATGATGTGCTAGGAAATGATATAGAATTCCGTTGTAACTGTTGGTCTAACATGTCCACCGACACTCTTTTGCTTGAACACCCTTTGTCTTTGCAGATTATGGTTGGAGAAGGAATTCTCTACTGTTGCTTGTCCAAGAGAAGAAATGGGGTTGGCCTGGAACCCAACATTAATGCCGGAGGCTGCAACTTCAACTCATTCCTTAGAAGAGCTGTCAGATTCGTTGGTGGGTATGGGGAGCCACATAGAGAGGAGATGTGTTTTTCAAATAGAAACGCTGTATTTAATTACAGATATTAAGTCCCTAAAGCTATAATTTAGATGCACAATTCTGGTACATGATGAGTTTTACATCATAAAAGAAACTGTTAAAACACCAAAATTTGTGCTTTGTATCTGAAATGTGTTATTTACAGTTAGGCCTTTGTTTTGAGAGCTAACAAACCGTGCATTTCAGCACATTTTGTCTTAGCTGTGGTAGAAGCATGAATTTACACTGATATAGTTTCACTGGATCTGTGTTCAGTTTGTAAAAAAGGAGTGAATGTCAGTAGGCTAGAATGAATAAATAATACTTCAGAAATTAGTTTAGCTGCATTAATGATTCAATTTCAATTGTCCTGAAGTATTTGCATTCAGAGGTTACCATACTTGGAAATATCGCCATAGAGTACTGCTTTGTGGCTATTTTTCTTTGGTTACAACCTCTGTCTTTGCAGGAGTTTTCCTTTTATGAGTTCTGGAGGAAACCTGTAGGTTCGGCCAAACAGCATCTGAATCAAACCAGTTTCTAAACTTTACTCTCTTGTCATTAGCATGGGACCATTTTAATGTTGTCTGAGTCACAAGTCTTTTTTTTTAACTGAGTTGAGTAGTCACCCACAGTCCATCAGACCAACCTGTGTATTGTATATTCATTTCCCACAAATCAGTATAAAGTTATTTTTACCAGCAACATGTCAGCTCAAAATAAATAGGTGACTTCATTTGATACCTAGTAGATAATTTATATAATTATCTACAACCCTGTGTCTCAGAGTTAAAATGGGGTCTAAATTATGCCCCATATGCTGTTCTACTCAGCATTTTCTTGCCATCGGATGAGAAAGCAACAATCACTTAGCAGGATCACAAACTGGGGAACATGGAGGCAACCATCCTCTCTGAAACACCTTGCGCCTGGAAAGATGGTGCAGCCAACCTTGGAGAATGGCTTTCCAGCATCTCCTGTCAGCAATCCCACCCTTTGAAGGACTATAGATTCTCATTATCCTAGGGAAAACAAAGATGGGTTTCTCTTCCCATTCAAACCCTTCACATGCTTCTAGGATTTTGAATGTGGAAGTAAAGTTTCTGTGTCATGAGTCCCAGGTGTGTGGGTGGAGAAGGCATAGGAGGAGTGCTGGTTAGGTGACAGTAAGCAGCGAAGAAAAAGGCACAACAGAATGATGTGCCAGCCAGCACTCCCATTCTGGAGGCGGCTGAAGAATCGCCTGGGTCTTCTCATGATGCTTTCTGTGGGCAACTCATGAGTCAGAATCCAGGCCGTCAAATCAGAATGAATCCAGGGTGACAAGACAAGCTGGGGGCACAGGCAATTTTCAGATCACGTGTGGTGAGCAGAGAGCTAGGCCCCAGGGATGAGGCCACACAAGTGCCTCCAAGCAGACATGGCACTCGTGTGTACTAGAGCCAGGATTTGGAATCTGATGGTTTAAGACAGATCCCAGGAGACAAAAAAAAAAGTAATTTGTGTCAAGAGATGTAAGAGCATTATCTCCAAATACACATGCAGGCTCCTCCCAGCCGGGGCCCCAGGATATGATTGCTGTTTCTGTGACAGAGCATACCTGCCCTCCTCTCTGATTTAAGGAGCATTCCTACTATGACTACAGCTTGTTGGAATTAGGGTGAATTCTCCAGGGCTTAGCGATGGTGGCTAGAGTTGGAGACTGTCAAAGACAGAGAGCCCCATCAACTTCCACATGCTAAGCAATTTTAAATTATTTTAAACTTCACTTCATTCCCCACATTTAATCCCTCTTGAGTCACACAATTGGTCCCCTTAACATGCTACAGGTGTCTGCCAAGTGACCACGGTTAATAATGTTAAGAACTGGCCTTGTTTAACCGAACTGACAAAAGTGCCTCCGGTGACTACTTTGGCCCATATTTTGGCCGTAGGTATCTGTTTAGAAGTTTAGTAATTTTCTATAATATCACCTCATAATTGACCTAGAGAAAATGATCACAACAGAGTCTAAAGTTGTCACATTAGTGTGTAATGAATGTGTCTGATGCTGACACAACGTCAGCATTCACCCCCAAAGTGATAACACTTTCTTTCATTTTGCCTACAGGTGTTCATATATTTGGGCTATGCTCCACAGCTCTCATCACGGACATCATTCAGCTATCCACAGGGTATCAGGCCCCTTACTTTCTGACTGTGTGCAAACCAAACTATACCTCTCTGAATGTGTCCTGCAAAGAAAATTCCTATATCGTGGAAGATATTTGCTCGGGATCTGACCTTACAGTTATCAACAGTGGCAGGTTAGAAACTGATATTTAAAAACATTCTGCGTCCATGTTTTCATTACTCAGAAATTGTTTGGAGTATCATCTTAAGCGTAACTTTTTCAGTCATAATGATCTTGGTTTTCTTTTTCTTTTTCATTCAGTGATTTCTTCAGTGACTATACCATAGAGGCCCATTGGTGGCTCGTTGAAAATTCTTTTCTTTGTCTCCAAATTTCAGCCTCACATTCTGGCTACTGGTCCTTATATCACCAAACTCCACTCATGTTTTGTAATTCACCCTATATTCATCAGGGTTTTAGGTTACTATAAGTGTTTTATTTTAAGATATTTACAGTCTGTCATGGCTTACAGTCAACATATGTCTCATACTGGCTTAAATGGAAGACTAAACAACTATGATAGTTAATCTCCACTATATGTTTTTTTATGTAAATTTTTTTTGGTAGAGTTTGAGAATGGGGAACCTCTGGAATTGCATATGTTTTCTTTGAATGAGCCCAGATCTATACAACTTCTACACTTATATAACAGAAAATAAGGAAAATTCAAAAAACTACTAATGATTTAGATTTTTTCAATCAGTAAAGCAAAAATAAACATGACAATAGATAGTATTTTAGGGGTTCAAGAAGAATGATTTATGAAGAGATGAGGGTCAATAAATTATTGTTGTAAGAATTGAATTTATTATTTGTAGAATTCCCAAGTGTTGATTGAAGAGTCAAAAATAAGTTAATAAGTACATTTGAAGAATCAGAGCCTGATATTATGTGATTTTACATATTCAAGTTCTCATAGACCATTCAATCATTTTGAATCTGCACTCAAGACCTGTGTCCTATTCTTTCTCAGTCTTAGTACATCACCTCCTCGGTGGTAGATGACAATCCTCTTTATTACGATACCATATATTAGGGGGCCATTAATATAAGTATCATATATTAGGCGGGCATTGATATAAGTATTCATTTTTTCCATTTTTTTAATCCATCAAAAGAGATCTCTGTTCTTTTTTTTTTTTTGGTCTTCCTTCTCAGTGTCTCTTCCACTATCTCTTCCTTAAGTTGTTTAAATAATATAATCTATGATTCTTGAGATGATAATTATTGTAAAGTAGAATAAACAAAAAATATTTTGTTAAAATTATCCTTTTCTTATGCCCTCTAGAGCAAAAAAGAATAATTTAGATCCACTGTTGTGAGAAAACAACTTAATTTTTTAAAATGTGTATGTAGCCAGGAGCTATGGTTCTTTTCTATAATCCCAGCACTTTGGGAGACTGAGGCAGGAGAATCGTCTGAGCCCAAGAGTTCAAGACCAGCCTGGGAAACATAGTGAGACCTTGTCTCTACAAAAAAAAAAATTAAATGTCAGCTGCATGTGATTGTGTGCACCTGTAGTCCCAGTTACTCAGGAGGCTGATGCAAAAGGATCACTTGAGCCCTGGAGGTTGAGGCTGCAGTGAGCTGTGATTGTGCCACTGCACACCAACCTAAGTGACAAAGTAAGACCTTACCTAAAAAATAAATGTTTATCTAAATTAAATACTGCATCTAGGAGCATAGAAAAAGTTTAGAGCATTTAAGTCCTAGGTTTGATGAACTTTGACTTTAAACTGACATAATCCTAAGACTGAAGCACAATTGCTTTCCAATACAATTCTACTTTCAACAGTCCTTCCAATGATGTCATGAGGTCCTGAGCTGGCCCCTTGCCAAGCTGACAGCTGTTTATCCTGGAAAGCATATCACTGCTGTTTATTAATTCTAATTTGTGACTAGCAGTATTTATTTTATCACTCGGGTCTTTCCTGAGAAAACTAAACAGAAATTACAGTTATTGTTTATTGCCTTGTGACTTTTAAGTTAACACCTAAGCACCCTGCACTCTTGCAACGATTGCTAGCCATAACCTGAACTAAAAGGTGTAATTTGACTGTCTTCCTCTGGCAGAAAGTCCTTTCCTTCTCAACATGCGACCCTCGCTGCATTTGCAGCCGTGTACGTTTCGGTAAGTAGCTGGTTCTTTTTTGTTAGTAGTGTCCTGCAGAAAATCAGAGGAATGAATGCTGTCTCCAGCTGACTAATTAGATGATGTAGCCATGTAGTAATGGAGCAGTAAAAGCTGTAGTCCTTCAATATCATGGTATCTCAAGCAGAAGTCAAATACCACACTAAAAAATTGTACAGTATAAGCACTTTTCTATACAGTTATGATAATATTTATTTAGCCTAGTGTTCTTTTATGTAATATTATACTTCACGGAAGGATATTGTGAACTACATGAATGTTACTAAAACTAAAAGAATTGCATAAAATACACACAAACCCAACACACTACTCTGAGTATTTATGTTACAATGGTAAGTTCTAGTTCAGTGTAATTTTGATAAACATTGTACAATGAATAGTCATTCTATCTGACTGATAACAATAGTCCATGAAGTCTTCTGTGAGAAAAAAATGGACTGAATTTACATAACACGTAACATGGAGATTAAACAGTTAAATGGCTAATGCTTCAATATTTTGCAAATTTTAATGTAATTAAATGAGAGATCTGTCATGTATTTGATAAATTTTGCCATGCATTTCCCTTTTGGCAGTTATAGAGCATAGCTGTAGCAGGGGAATGGCACAGTAAAATCGGTGTCAGGTGTATCCATTAGACCTTTGAGTTTAACTTTTTATTTGATTATAATGTACTAATAAGACAACCTTTCTAACATACTTAACCCACTTCTTTCATTCTCAAGATGTACTTCAATTCCACATTAACGGATTCCTCTAAGCTTCTGAAGCCACTCTTGGTCTTCACATTTATCATCTGTGGAATCATCTGCGGGCTAACACGGATAACCCAGTATAAGAACCACCCAGTTGATGTCTATTGTGGCTTTTTAATAGGAGGAGGAATTGCACTGTACTTGGTAAATAATCTATTTTCCTCGGTAAACCACAGTTTAAACTGGAAACATAAATAGAATATTTTGCACTATAATCGCTTACTTGCAATATATTTTATATTCATGAGAAAATCTCTGGCTGCATCTCATTCTAAGACAAGACTCATGTCCCACTTTCAATAAAATAGTCTACCGAGCTCTTACTGTGAGCCAGAAATTGTGATATGAGAAAGATCAATTCATTGTATCTTTACAACAACCAAACGAGGGGGAGCCAGGAACTATTATTCGTAGCATAATTATAATTTTACAGATGAGGAAAGTGAATATTAGTCAAAGTAGGGTTGGTAAAATCGAAGGCTTAGTGAAAGGCTATGTGATTTGCCCAACCACACAAATTTAGCACCTGAATATAACTGTAATCCAACTAATATTGAATTATTTAATGTTACTCTTTTTTGAAACTTGATCTCCCTTCAAAGGAAGTAGTCTTAGCAGAAGGAAACTGACTTTGTCCATTTCATTCAGTCATGCATGCATTCATTCATTCATGTTCTATTTACTCAGTATCTAATCTGTGCTAGGTATCATATTGATCATTAAAATACTGAGAAATAAGATGTATTCTTTAGAAGTTTACAATGTAAATAGAAATGATTACCATATGTTAGATGATGCAAGAGGGTATAATAAAGTGCTCTGGAAAGAGCAAGTTGCCTGAGGAAGTTAGAAGAGCGTTCACAGAAGTGATGTGTTTGTTTGAACGAGGGTTTCATAGGGTGAGGAAAAGAGGGAGGGCATTTGAAAAGAAACTGCATGTGCAAAGAGATGGACGAGGGGAAGAGCAGGAGGAAGCGGAAAGGGAGAGAAGGAGGAAGGAGAGCTGGTGGCCTGGCATCTAGCTTGAAAACCTGGATGGATGGTGACTTCCCCAGCAGACCAGGTAAGTGCAGGAGGAGGCAGTCTGTGGGGGAGGGGGGAGCAATCCTTCCTGGAGAAATAGATTTGGAAATCGTGGTCATTGTCAGTGGAGGTATCATTGTAGTTATCTGAGGGGTCTATGAAATCACCAGGTCCTAAGCATACCAAGGAGCCAGGAAATACCAATACACAAATGTCATACAGAAGAAAAGGTAATCATGAAGGAAACTGATAGATGTAAAAATTAATTGTTGCTGGAGTTCTCAGTCATGTAGTCCTGGTGCACTTAGGAAATGTATTGCAAGAAAATGATTACAGAAATGCAGTGAAAGAATAAAGTGTGCTATGAAAACAGATATAAAGAACACAATGAGGATTGTCACCTAGGTCTTACTCTTACTCACATGATTTCTTTGGTGGAGGAGAAAGGGTTCCAGTTAAAGCTAGTATGCCAGAAAATGTGCATGAGCCAGGTTACCCATGGGAGTGTTAATTGGCCAAGTGTGTTACAGAAGAAATAAAGAAGACTGAGAACTGCCACTCTCTCATTCAGGCATAGCCTTGGCACGTGTGTGCTTTCACTGTGTCCTGGAACTACCATGGGATTTATAGTCCAAAGGATTTGGACAAGAATTTCAACTCTCTTGCCACTTGGCCAAGTTACACAGCCTCTCATAAGCCTGTGTCTCCCCTTTAAAGTAAGGGTGATAATTCTTTGTCCCATATCCTCACAAGAATTAGACAACAGTCATGCACCAAATAACTACATTATGGATTGCATATAGCATGGTGGCCCATAAAATTGTAATATTGCATTTTTATTATACATGTTCTATGTTTAGATATACAAATACTTGTCATTGTGTTCCAATTGCCTACAATGTTCAGTAGTAACATACTCACAGGTTTGTAGCCCAGGAGTCCCTAAGTGCACTCTGTGATGTTTACACAATGACTAGACAACCTGTCCAGGCATTTCTTAGGGCACATCCTTGTCTTTAAGTAACAAATGACTGTAGCTGTACGTCACAGTGCTGGGTGCCAAACATTGAACAATACAGGCAGAGCTTACAGTCTAGTGGAGGATTTTCCCAAACTTACAAATATAAGAACAATTGTTAATAGAACATTAGTTAGGGATTGCTCATTCTGGCGAACTCTGACAGTGAGGGCAGAGTCAGATATTATTTTAGAAACTATTTGAATGAGGAATTAAAGTAACTGAGAAGGGAGTTACAGTATTTTATTTCTGTTTGCACTCTGTGCCCTGAAATTGGAAATATATCAGCCCTAAGGCAAAGGTGTTATTCACTGTTAAGCATGCTATAAAATGTTAAATCGATGAAATTTTTTGTTTTCACTTGAAAAGTAGACAGTGGTTACCTTCTTTTGAAATTGTAGACACAAAGAGCTGTCTGCTGCTTGAACTTTTCTCTAAACCAAGCATCTTAAAAACTGAAAATCCAACAGGCATTAGTCTTGCTATGTGTAATAAGGGTAATAAGTTTGAGTCTCAACTTTAGCCTTTTCCAAATGTTAACCTCCAGAATGTAAAACAAACAAGAAATTAATATACTGAGTATGAAAACAAAATTAAATAAAATTGGGCTTAAATTTGGTGCAATGGCGCTACATTGATCAAATAGTAATTCCCAATTTAAGACCAAGCTTAAATCAGGAAATCTCATGGACACCCTAGTCGGGTAACAGTTTCTGCCCTCTCTTTCAAGGGGCTATACCATCGTATAGCACCCAATGCAATGCTGAACACACAAGGCTGCACTTAGTGTGAGTTGTAACAATGTATGTCTCTAACCTCATTTCAAAACCTGATGCCATGTTTGATGATTGATTCATGTTCTATGTTTTCTATATCTCTTCAACTTTCCATCACAAGGTATGATTGAAAATGGAAAACAAAATAAATCATTTAAGTCATTTGAGATGTCACTCTACAAGAAGTTCTTAAATCCACAAAAATGAACTGCTTTGAAAAGCAGAAAATGTCCTTATTTCTCTCATTGTCTGCCTTTTCTCCACAAAATATACACAGGTTAGGATTGACAGAAATATCCAGAATGATGGAGAAAGGAATGGGGTCTGTATTTCTGAGCAATTAGTTGAGTGATTTATGAGATAAAGTGCAAACAACTTCCCTGAGGAGTTAGAGTTTTCATATTTTGCTGTTTGTATTAGACAATGGTGTTCACAGGGTCTACTCAAATACTTCTGGGGGTACTCTGAGGGAAACCTGAGTAACCACATCTTCCAGGGCATGATGTCTACTGTTTTCTCTTGAACACCAGGGCCTGTATGCTGTGGGGAACTTTCTGCCTAGTGACGAGAGTATGTTTCAGCACCGAGAAGCCCTCAGGTCTCTGACAGACCTCAATCAAGACCCCAGCCGGGTTTTGTCTGCTAAAACTGGTAGCAGCAGTGATGGCATCGCTCACACAGAAGGCATCCTCACCCGGAACCACAGAGATGCCAGCTCGTTGACAAACCTCAAAAGGGCGAATGCTGATGTGGAAATCATCACTCCACGGAGCCCCATGGGGAAGGAGAACATGGTCACCTTCAGCAATACCCTGCCCCGGGCCAACACCCCCTCTGTCGAAGACCCTGTCCGAAGAAACGCGGCCATTCATGCCTCTATGGATTCTGCTCGGTCCAAGCAGCTCCTCACCCAGTGGAAGAATAAGAACGAAAGTCGGAAGTTGTCCTTGCAGGTCATAGAGCCTGAGCCTGGACAGTCCCCACCCAGGTCCATAGAAATGCGGTCGAGCTCAGAGCCATCAAGGGTAGGGGTGAATGGAGACCACCACGGTCCTGGCAATCAGTACCTCAAGATCCAGCCTGGTGCTGTCCCCGGCTGTAACAACAGCATGCCCGGGGGTCCAAGGGTGTCTATCCAGTCCCGCCCTGGGTCCTCACAGTTGGTGCACATCCCCGAGGAGACACAGGAAAACATCAGCACCTCCCCCAAAAGCAGCTCTGCCCGGGCCAAGTGGTTAAAGGCTGCCGAGAAGACGGTAGCCTGTAACAGAAGCAACAGCCAGCCCCGCATCATGCAGGTCATCGCCATGTCCAAGCAACAGGGTGTCCTCCAGAGCAGCCCCAAGAACACAGAAGGCAGCACGGTCTCCTGCACGGGCTCCATCCGCTATAAGACTTTGACAGACCATGAGCCCAGTGGGATCGTGAGGGTTGAGGCTCACCCGGAGAACAACAGGCCCATCATCCAGATCCCGTCCACCGAAGGAGAAGGCAGTGGCTCCTGGAAGTGGAAAGCCCCTGAGAAGGGTAGCCTTCGCCAGACCTATGAGCTCAACGACCTCAACAGGGACTCGGAGAGCTGTGAGTCCCTCAAAGACAGTTTTGGTTCCGGAGATCGCAAGAGAAGCAACATTGACAGCAACGAGCATCACCACCATGGGATCACCACCATCCGCGTCACCCCAGTGGAAGGCAGCGAAATTGGCTCAGAGACGCTATCGGTCTCTTCCTCCCGCGACTCCACCCTGAGGAGAAAAGGCAACATCATTTTAATCCCTGAAAGAAGTAACAGCCCCGAAAACACTAGAAATATCTTCTACAAAGGAACCTCCCCCACACGGGCTTATAAGGATTGAGTGACGCCACTCCATTCTTTGGGCCACTCCCAAGAGACCGTGTGTTGACTCGACCGTGCTCTTTTCCAGAGATCTGAGAAGTGTCACCCAACTAGACTGTCTACCATCGGTCTGGAATTCTGTAACTTTTGAGAACTTCTAGACTCCAACTCGTAGGTTTCACACCAAGGGGAGGGAAAAGCACAATGCAAGAGCCTAACTCATTTGATAACGGAAGAGATTTCTTAAGACCTGTCGTCAGACTCAAAAGGTTTTGCAGAGAGCAGTGTCAAAAGAAAGTGGTTTCCTTCCAGTGTACACTATCTTATTTCCTGAATGTGCCAACTTTGGGGATTTTTTCTTTATAATTAGCTGTGGGATCCCAGAACACACAGGTCTTCCCTACAGCAGAGGCCATGCAGTATTATATATTCGTTTTGCAGAATCTGCACCAAGAGCTCAATACGGGTGGTGCTGATTATTCTAGTACATATACCATGTAAACTCTCGAACTCTATTTAGCCGTGAAGTAGTGGTGTGCAATTCCTTGTCGAAGAAATGCTAGTTTACTAAGAAGATGCTGGCTGCTTTGTGTTAGAGTAGGACACCCCGCAGCTTCTCTGTAGTGGCTCTGTCTCAGTCCCCAAATGAAAAGGTTTATGTGGATTTCTTCAAATTTCTGCTTTCTTCAACATCAAACGTTGTATAGGAGTATTTTCAGTGAAAGGGAATAGCTAGTACTTTTCTGCATACTTTTTCTGCATACTTTTTCTGCTGCTTACTTTTTATTTAAGTACAGGGACTGCTAGTGAATCTGTTTTTTAGTGAGTACGTTGGCATACGTTTATAAATATATTGTTTTAGAGAATCTTTTGAAGCTGTTGTGATCATATTTTGCTTTGTATGGCTTCTCCTTTATTTACTGATTATAACTTTTTTTGATGTTATAGATATGTTATCCTATTTTCAAAATCAAAAGTTGCAATCGACATTCCTTAAGCAAAGTATACTGCTGTGAATTTAATATAAACAAGAAATCTGAGCCAAAACTATTGATATGATATTGTAGGTTACGTTGCCAGAAACGTTGGTCAAGTTGACCCTGAGATGTCTCTAATCAGCTGGCTTAGGTTGCCATCTTAACAAGTAAGCTGAACATTCCATTTGGTTCCAGACTATTAAACTTTTTTAAAATATCCTGATAACCAGTAAATCAGAGCCACCATGGGCAAGTTTGGTCCTCTTCTCTAAAATACTTTTATTAATTGGAATTAATTCTTGCAAGAGGAATAATTTGAAAAAAATGCTTATTGATAAGTAAAAGTATCTCACAGTATAAATCAAAAATATATTTATTCAAAATAGCAGAATAGACACAGTTTTAGCTTAACACACAAACAACAATTTTGCTACCTACCCTGAATCAAGCCTTGAGCCTAAATCAAAAGAAACCAATACCATTGATAGTAAGAAGATTAAAACAAAGTATTTTGAAGTGCTTTTTCTGACTTTTTTTTTTTTTTTTGAGTCGAGGTCTCACTCTGTCACCCAGGCTAGAGCACAGTGGCAAGATCACACCTCACTATCGCCTCGACTTCTCAGGCAATCCTCCTGGCTCAGCCTCTAGAGTAGCTGGGACTACAGGTGCACACCACCATGACTGGCCAATTTTTTAATTTTTGTGTGTGTGTGTGGAGATGAGGACTCGCTATGTTGCCTAGGCTGGTGTCAAACTCCTGGGCTCAAGCAATCCTCCCACCTCAGCCTCCCAAAGTGCTGGGATTACAGGTGTGAGCCACAGCGCCCAGCCCCAGCTTAAAAATTTAAAGTATGACGATATATTCAGTTCTTGGAATTTAGTATTAAACCTCTTTTACACCATTTCTTAAGAATTCTAACATACACTTGATGATAGCCAAGGGGATGAGAAGAAACAAAAGCGCTGGTTAATCTGGTCTTGGTTCACTTTCAGAACTAAGCAACAAAGGAGTTGCTTAGAGATAGAGTGTCACATCATTATCAGACTCCACATGGAAAGGCAGAGCTTTCTAGAACAACCAACCTCCTAAGGCATTAGGAATTTAGCTGAAACCAGCAGAACTGAACACTCTGGCAATAAAATACAGACTCAACCGTGTCCCTTCTGGCAATTTTCTTCTCAGAGAGAGGAGTGGGAGTACACTTTGCCTTTCCACTCACCGCTGCCACCATCATGATGTGCCCACCGGCTGTGCCAGCTTCTGGAGGGAAGTTGGGCTGGCTTTAGCACTCTGGAGAATAAAAAACAAAAACCGCTGCAGCATTTCGGGTGCAGTATGATATTTCCTAATATTTCCTATTTCTTAACAAAAGATTTTAAAGTACTTCTCTGTCATTGAAGTTTTGTTTTCTTTACATAAATATTGATATATTCTTTTTCTACTCAAAGTGCCAAAGGCTACTGTTTTTAATGACTTAACAAATTGTACCACATTGTTAAGGAAATATAATTATAGACACTAGAACTCAGACCTCTGCATGTATATTTGATAACATGTCTTTTGTAAAAAAAAAATTTAAAAATTGTTTACATTCCACTGGTACCTTAATTTAAAATAAATCAGACTAACAGGTGGTATCTCTTCTTAGTGTTCTATTTCTCTTATTTGCTAATGGGAGCACTTCTTCCTTTGTTAGGCTGTGCTTTATTGATAAAACCAAGTGTTGAATAAAGAGAGTTAATTATCTTTTTAAAGTAAATGAAATTATGAAAATATATATAATATATATAAAGTATTGTGTTTAATAAAATGTTATGCAATGTTTTCCAAACTGATAAAGTTTGTAAAGTGCTATAAATGTATTTTGTTAAGTACAGATCAAAGCTATTGTGTGAGTATATTGTGCTAACATCATAGAAATAAAGATTAGATTTCTTCATCAAAATTGGAATATTTTGGTTTTTACTTCAGACAAAATATAAATAGATAATGATTTGGTTTATAGAAAAACAGTGAGGAAATAACAATAAATCAGGATTGACTAAATTCATAATTGTTTGGGAGGAAGAATGTTTCACTAAGATGAAAAGTTAGTCAAACCAAGGCATGTTTCCTTATTGTTTCAACTTTTTATGTTATGCTTATTAAAAGAACTCTTTTATACTTTAGGCATGTTTTTACATATCAACATATATAAAAAGAAAATAGGGAGTCAATTGTTCTGAATTCATTTTTGACTTAGAGTAGTTGATGTCCATATTTTCCCAAACATTATCACCCCTGGTGCCATTAAAGGCATTGGTGCTATGGCTTTTCTTACAGGAAGCATTCACTATTAACTCAAGGATTTTCTTCAAAGCCATTAACACTTGTTTTATGAGTTTTACTGCTGATACTTTGTATGTCCCACTAGAAGTTATTAGCACAAAGTTTTGGACGTCGGCCAGGACTTATACTTTGCTCAAATGATCCTTGAGTGGTTTGTTGAGTGAAATATGAAGTTCCAGGCGCTCAGTAATGCCACCAAGTTAATGCACATCCAGTAGCAACCAAGTTCATGTACACATGCAACTGCATCATGACCATGGCCTGGCCAACAGCCATTGTAAGATGCTATTGATTTTAGGAAACATCTGGTTTTAAAGATAAAGTTAACATGTGAAAAAACAATGTGTATCTATATATAAGTGGTTGAAATACAGTATTAAGTACCTCTAGATCTTGTTTTTTTATTTCTAAAATGGGGACATTCATTCATATTTTCCTTTCTGAAGGATGTTTTAGAGTTCTTTCTAAATTCTGTGGATGAATATTATGTACTTTATGCAGTGAGCACAACTTCTGGTGAGGAAATAAGGAATAATTTGGTCTACAGTGACTAAGTTATTGTTGTCTTTGACCACAAAGTTAATATAAACCACAAAGTTAATAGAAGCAAGCAAACTGGGATTGCTGAGAGCCTACATCATCTATTTTACCACATAATATACAAAAATAGGTGACTTGATGTGTATTCCCCTGATCTTAGTAGCTCTCGCCTGAGGTATCAGGCGAGGAGATTCAGGGTTATCATACACATAAGAAACTATTGTCAGAAGCCCTGCCATTTCTGCCTTTTGCAGGTCAAGTCTTCACTTGATATCTATGGGTCATTTAATATCACAGGTCAAAGGGAATATGAAAATTTATGCATGATTAAAAGAGTAATTAAAATAATATAACTGAAAAAAATCAAAGGGAATTGAGATGGTTTAATTAAAAAACAAAATATGGGTTTGAAAATGGGGAATGGCCAGTTTATTTCCTCTGCTTATTTCATGTGTTTTTTGCCTTTATTTTGTAAAAAGCTTCTGAAACGCTCTAGGATCAAATATTTCAATTTAAAGAAAATATAGATTTTTCAGTACTGGTACACATTATGGGTAAAATCTAGCTCTAAAAAATCCCCAGTGATCATGCTTTCCAGTTGGAGGAGAATACCTAGAGAATCCATTTGATATAGAAATGACTTATCTCACTGCCCATACAATTGTTAGTCAATGGAAGTTCCTAATTTTGTGTATTTGCTCACTACAATTAATAACAAGTAGAGAACTGAGTGAAACCAGAGTTATGCCACCAATTCTATTTAACAGACATGCTCAGAGACCATTTCCTCTCCTTGACTCCCCCTACCTTAAGTTCTCAGTCATTGCCTATGAGGAAAACTCATCTAAATTCTAAAAGTCACCTTTTTAAAATGGCACAACTGACAATTAGATGAACGAGTTTAAAGAACAAAAAATATGACAATTGCATCCATATAAAGTCTCCTTTACCACTAATCATCTCTGGATATTTACACCTGGCTATGTCCTTATGGGAGTGGACTGGAAAAAGTCAAGGATAAGTCTCTTTGTCTTTCAGAAGATGACACAGAGGTGATATTTATCATTTATAACCCACCCAGTTGGCCCAAACCAGATCCAATTCATCTTCTTTTCCTTTATGGGCCATGTTCTTAAAGTCAAATCGAGAATATACAAAGAATTCTCAACATTCAGAAGTCAAAAAAATTAATAATAAGCAAAACCAGTAAAAAGTAAAATTTTTAAGATGAACAAAGTGTGTACAGATATGTAAGCAAAGGTGATACAAGGATGGCAAGTAAGCACATGAATAGACATTCATCCTCATGAGTCATTTGGGAAATGCAATTCAAAAACACAATGAAAAGAGCTAGAAAAGTGACTAAAATTTTAAAAAGTGATAGCATCAAATACCAGTAATAATGTGAAAAGATCCCTCATATGCTGCTGGTGAGGATGTGAAATGGTACAACCACTCTGGAAAAGAGTTTGACAATTTATTTTAGAAACTAAGTATACCCTTACCACACATCCCAGCAGTTGTACTCTTGGGCATCTATCCCACAGAAATAAAAACTTACCTGCACACATAAAGATGTTACATATCTATTCACAGCTGCTTTATTTGCAATAGCCAAAACCTGGGAATAACTCAGATGTCCTCCAATGTGAGAATGATTAAACAAACTGTTATATAATCATACCATGGAACACTAATTGGCAATAAAGAGAAACAAACTATTGAAACATAAAACAACCTGAAGGAATCTCCAGGGAATTCTATTGAAAGAGAAAACCAACACCTGTTACTCATTGGGAATTCATCTAGCGTAATAAACGGTATAGATACAAGCATTCTTATATAGAAAGGTAGATTTACCATCTACCCTTACGGAGTTTCCAAGTTTCGCTAATTGTCAGTTTCCCAGTAGAAATGAGAGTAGGAGGGAAGAATGGGAGAATAAGCAGCTTTATCTTTCAGAAGATCAGAGCAGCATCCATCGTGTATAATCTACCCCATTGGCCCAAACTAGATCACCAAACCTCAAGAGAAATGAAGTCTCCAGCTGGGAGGCCCTGGGCCCAGTTAAAATGGTATGTTTTCACTAACTAGGTGAAATAGAATGAGAAAAATCACTAGGGCCTCGTGATCAGTCCCTGTCATATCAGTTTCAAGACCCTAAACTATATGACCTACAAACCCTTATATTCTACTTCTTCTCCAGAAAAATCTATTGCTATCACAGCCTGGGGCTATATATGTTGTGTGTGTGTGTGTGTGTGTGTGTGTGTGTGTGTGTGTGTGTGTGTGTGTGTGTGTATGTGTGTGTGTGTAGATGTATATTGCCCAAAAAATGTATACACATTTTAAGAGATGTGATCAATGTATTATATTTTGAAGTTGAATTGAATTACGACAGCAATGTGTAGTATGATGCTCACTCAACCATGCTTCTACCATGTTCTTTGACTGTCCTGCCTGTTGCATGGTGTTGCTAGTATTCATTTGAGTAACACCATCTTTTGAGTGAATGCCATACTTAAAATGTATATACATTTTTTGGCACCACTTGTATACACACCACTTGTATATGCAGGCACACACACACAGAGTTTATTTTTAACTCCCTTTCTCAAAAGTCTTCACTCTTCTTTTAAAAAAAATCCCGTTTATCTTTCT